GCACCCTGCCTGAGAACCCAGGCTCATCGCTGAGCTAGGTCGCTGCCGGCCATGACCCCCGGAGGTCCACATCCCACTCCCCAGAACCCGAGAGTAGGCAAAGCAGACAGCAGACGGGATTCAATGTGGGACCTGAAACAGGGGAACTGTCCGGGTTACCCCACTGGCCCCCAAAGCAATCTGAAGAGAAGGGAAGAGGACACGGCTGCCCCAAAAGGGGGAGGCACAGGGGACGTGGCTAAGAAGAGGAGTCCATGTGACCCCAGGGGAGAGGCAGCAAGGGTGCACCTGTGAGCCCAGGGCAGCTGGCAGCCTCTGGGAGGTGGGAGAGGCCAGGAACAGAATTCTCCCTGGAGGGAGTGGCCCTGTGCACATCTACAGAGCCCCCCACCGTAGATGCCCGGCTCCACAACTGGGGGAACACACTGTGCTGTTTGAAGCTACCAAGTGTGTGGTAACTGGTCATCGTAGCCACAGGAAGCTGAGGCGGCAACGGCTGCGGGCCCTTCCGATCGCCCCTGTGCAAGCCCCAGCCACCCCCTCTGGCCGGCCCTCCCCTGCACCCCCCAACCTGCCGCTCCGCTGAGGCCTGCTATCTGCCTGCCACTAAGCAGAGCACTAGTGCCTCCTTCCGAGGAGCCGTCAGGACGGGGCTCCGCTCCCCACAGCCTCCAGCCTCCTGCAACCAGAGCGGGCTGGCCAGAGCACACCGCCCTCATTCAGGTTCCTTCCCACACCCTCTGATAGCTGCCCGCTGCCCACAGGACTCTGTCCAGGGCCCGGGTCATTCGGGGCTGCAGCCTCCACACGGCCCCAGCATCAGCTCTGCCCTCGGCGCTCCGCCCTGCATGTCCACAGCGAGCTCCCCGGCAGCCTGGAAAACTCCTATCAGGCTCAGGCAAAGCAACAGGACCAAGCAGGTCGGGAGGGGTTGGCTGCGGGCCCGGCCGGCTGGGAAGAGCTGGCTGCAGCCACGGGGCGGAGACTCCCGCAACGCAGCCAGCTGCACAGCCACGTGGAGCAGCCTCTGGGCACAGCGCCTCAGATCTGACCACCTCCCGGCAGGCGGGGCAAAAACTCCTGCGGTGCTGTGCCTGTTCTGCCCGTCAGGGAGGACACTGCAGCCGGACGGCAGCGGGCAAAGGCTTGGCACCAGTGCCGGAGGACACAGCGGCAGCCAAGGGCACGGGCACAGGGCTGCTGTCTCTCCCCTGGGGCGGGCAGCACGCTTGGCAGGGCTCCAGGACGCAGCAGCCCGGGCACGGGAACCCCCCGCCCCTCCTGGTCCAAGGTGTGCCGGGGTCCCCAGGAGGGCAGCCCCAGAGAAGGGAAGAGGACACGGCTGCCCCTGCCTCTCAGAGCAGGGCCCACGGGGATGCGTGTGCTTCATCTGGTCCAGATGGTGCTTTTCAGAAATCTGAAGCCGCACTTAAAATCAGGAAGGTTCACATAAAAATTATGGTATTTGAATTCTCCCGACAGTAAGATAATGAGCTTGCCCGACCTGCCCTTCCACCAGGCCAAGGGCACGGGCACCCAGAAGGGCTGTCCCTTCAGACGTCCCTGGGGTCGGGCCTGAGCCCACACTGAGCCTGGGACCGGGCACCATGTGCAGCCTCATTCATGCTGCTGTTTTCATTTTCACACAAATGTTTTCTCTGTCCTCCATGTTTATGTCAAAAGTGGGGAAATAAAGCCAGATCAAGGAGCGGGTGTGGTTAGTTTTTCTTTTTCTGTGCTGCTGGCCTCATTGGTATTGAGGGCCATACCCTGCAGCTCTTGTCTTTTTTTTTTTTTTTGTACCAGGAATTGAACTCAGGGCCTCATGCTTGCCAGGCAGACACTGTGCCACTGAGCTCCATCTCTAGCCCACAGCTCTTGTCTTGAGATGGCAAGGCCTTCTGCAGATGCCCAACATTTGACCTGGGGCACTCTGCAGAATTCCAACCAGCCCCTGAAGGCAGAGGCAGCCGGACTGGAAGGCCAGCAGCAGGCCAGCTTCTCCAGGATGCGGGCTTGGGGTCAGCCTAGCCACCACCGATTCACCCTTTCTGGGCACGGGGCAGCCCTGGCTGAGACTGGAGCTGGCTGCTTCCCTGGGGTGTCATAGACCCGTATACCGTCCACTGGGCAGCCGCCCTCCCCAGGGGGACAACTCACCTCCTGCCACTGGCTGAACAGGACCCCTGAAGACACCAGCCTGATTCCTACAACCTGCGACTGGTACCCTCTACAGGAAACAAGAACCGGCAGGAGTGATTAGATTAAGAAGCTACAAGGCGAGAGCGTTACTGGGCTCGCGATTCCCTCGGCTGAGGGCCCACACAGCACGTGGCCAGCCTCCTAGTGAGGGCCCTCGGTGAGTCACACGTGGCAGTCTCCACAAGGGCAGGGCCGCGTGCTAGAGACCCACACGCGGGGCGCTCCTGCCTTTATCACCATCTCTCTCGTGGGGACTGACTCACTCTTGCGCATCCCCAGCTCCATGGACTCAGCGCTGATCCAATCATGGAGACACAGCCCGTGACCTGGGCACCTTCCACGAGCTCACACCGCGCACAGCTCCACCACTGCAACACTGCCACCCTGGGCACTCATCCCGCACAGAACCTCCGGGAAGAGACCATACCCAGGCCGTGGCACCTCCCCTCCACACACGCATGCACACATGCACACGCGCGCACACATACACGCACATGTGCATAGGCACACACGCATACCCTCTGCTCTGAGGCCCTCTCCTGCGCCAGGCCACAGGAGACGGCTTTTGTGTAGCCCAGGCTGCCACTCTGGCCCTGGTGGCGGAGGCCAATGGAAAGCTGCGCCATCTGAGGTCAGCCCGGGCCCTCAGCCCAGCTCCGGCATAAACTGGGTCTGGACCCCCTCCAGCCAGGGAGCGAGTCGACCTCAGCGCTGGCCGTGCGGGAACAGTTAGGCACGCCCAGGGGAAACGGGCTCTCTGTAAGCCCAGCTCCCTCATGCAGGTCTGGCTGCTGGGCAAGAGTGACAGAGAAAGGGCTCTAAGCTCCAGACCCGCCCACGGCAAAGGCCTACACCCACCCACAGCCTGGACTGTGGCGGGTGGCCTTCGCAGCCAGGACTGGAGTCTCAGCCTCAGCCGTGGACAGGCCTACCTCCCCCCGTGGCCCATGATCAGCCACGCCACCGCAACCTCCAGCCTCACCCCGACCCGACCGGCTGGCCTCACCCAGGCTTTTCTAATCCCAACAGTTTCTGGACTCATTCTGAGTTGAAATTCCTTTCCTGTGTCCTCAGTTCCAAGTTCTCATTAAAGATAGGTAGACCAGGGTTGTGAGGTACAGGGAGGACTCAACAGAAGATGCCAAAACACCGGCCGAAGTCCAGAAGATAAAGGCAGGCCAGTAAGGCCCGGGGCGGTGCTGCCATGTTCAAGGAGATAAGAACCCTATGGAGTTTGGGGTCAGAGACTCGGCCACAGGTACCTGGCCAGCACCACCGTGCAGGCTCTGCCTCACGCTGCCTGAGCCACCCAGGACCTTCCAGCAGAGTCCAGCCCACGAGGACCAAGCCTGACGCACAGTGTGGCCGGGCCCTGCGCTGCCTGAGAGGTGAGCATTTCTAACCCCATCCAAAGCTGTGAGAAAGGAGAGGTCAAAGGCCCGGGGTTGCAAGAAACTAGGCTGAGCCCAGGTCTGGGGCCTTCGTCTGCCCCAGTTTCCCTCCTGTCCACCACGGCTACCACACTACACAGGCACAGACACACACACAGAAAGCCAGCGGTGGAGAGGGAGGGAAGAGGCGCTGAGGCCAGAGCCGGAGAAGGCCACGCAGGTAGCGCCCAGCCGCCCAGCTGCTGCCAACCACAGAAGACCAGGATTTACTACCAGGCAGGCAGGGGCCGCCAGAAGTATTGATCGGCTCCACAGCACGCTGGGCTTCCTGACGGAACAATTTCTTTGCAAAGGTATCTGACACGGCTTCTTGAAATCTGAACGAGGCCCTGCCAGGCTGCACCCAATTGATCTGTCAGCTGGGAGACCTAAATTAATGAGCCAGGGCCGCTCTGCAGGGAGGGGTGTGAGGCAGTAAATCACGGCGTGGGACTCCAGAGCACTCGCCTGAGCGTAATCAGACAGACGAGCCTGCCCGGACCCGGGCCACCTGCTGGGCTGCTGCCACCCACAGCGGCTTTCCACAGCCAGGAGGGCAGGGCCAGGGGCCGAGGGCTGAGTTCACAGCTGCCCACGCACACCACGAAAGCCAGGCCTGGGCAAGGTAGCCTCGTCCACAGGGTGGGACCCTGGGAATGGAGGCCTCTGCAGGACCACAGCACCCCCGGGCTTCGGCCTCACCACAGTCTAGAACCAGAGACTCCAGGGAGGTTTAGGCCACCAAGGCAGGGGTGCAGCCAGGAGCCAGTCACCCCACTCTCTCGCAGTCTTTCCATGCTCCTGGGCCCAAAGCACACGTTCATTCAGCGTTGAAAAAGATAAGACCCCACAAATGTGCAGAGGCTGCTCAGGCAGCTGGCAGCACCCCAGGGTCTTCATGGGGCTCGCCCCGTGGGGGATCGAGAAAGAGCACTCAGGGCTTCCCTGTGAGCGGCCAGGCCACGATGTCACAGGGCCGTGCAGAGCAGAGGCAGCAGGCGCGGCCGGCGGCGGGCACTTGGGCCAAGGCGGGTGCAGGCCTGGGCTGGGCTGGCCCTGCTCCCCAACATGTATTGGTCCTCGGGCAACACAAGGTAGAGCCTTAAACACCTTTGCTTCTGTCATGAGCACGCTGGGCCTATAAGCACTGGGTGTGGAGGCTGTTTCCTGCCTACATGCACCCAGAGTGGGCCCCCAGTCCCAAGCCCCAGCACCCACTGTGCCTGGCAGTCAGCCAGGCTGCCCTCTGGCCTGTTCCCGAGCCTGCAACCGGGCCCATAAAGGCTGTGTCCATCCCCCAGGATGTTCCCCCGGGAACCAGGGCCAGACAATGCTTCCCATGCAGCCCCCCAGCTGCAGCAGCCTTACCTGTGTCCAGGGCCTGTGGGCCCCCGAGGAGAGGGGGCTTGGGCGTGGGTGGTCGCCGGTACACCACGTGCACGCGGCCCTGCTCGGCCTCCTGCGCCGCCAGCCCCTTGTCCAGGGGCTCGATGAAGAACTCCTCCTCCTCCATCCGGATCAGACCAGCCTGCAGAGGCAAAGCGGAGAGGTTCACACTCCTAGCACACAACAGACCCAAGAGGGGGAGCAGCAGGGAGCCAGAAGGGGGCAGTGCCTTCTTCCTGAGGGTCCTGCCCAGCCCCAGCTCATCCCAGGCTGGGCCCTGGTGGGCTGCAGGGCAAGGGCAGGTGTCCCTCCTCTGTTCAGACACTACTTCCAGAGGCCAGGGCGCTGTCATCCCCACCCCACGCTTCAACTGTCCTTCTAGAAAAGCTACTGCTCTGTGACACCCAACATATCAAGGGAGGCCGAAGGGACCCAAGGGCAGCTGCGGGCCCGTCTATGGCCCTAGGAGGACACCAAAAATCATCAAATACGGGCCAAGGGCCACCCCTACCCCAGCGGCCCAAAGCGCAAGACAAAGGTCAAAAGCATCAGCAAGGGGCTGAACCCACCCACAGACATACTCAATTCGGGCCAAATGGTAATGTTGAAATTTCATGTTTTAAAAAAGCAATTCCAGCACAGGCTCTGACCAAGGAGGGCTGCACCCCACCAGCCGTGGACACCTTGAACAGACATATGCCCATGTAACTGGCCACGGTCCCCACTGCGCCCCACTGCCTGTCCCTAGGCCCACCCTGGCACAAGACCAGACTATAGGCAAGTGTCCTCCTGCCTCTCCCAAGACCAGCATGGCCCCTCCTGTTTCTGCCTGGATTCAGGCTGCCCCGTCCTGCAGCATTCAAGGCACAGCTGTCGCTGTCCTCCCAGCCCTTACGCAGGTCACCAGGTTACAGGCACACAGCTGACCTGCTAGGGCCTCTTCATGGGTGCCCCTGTGCCCACCTCTCACACTGGCCACATGGTAAACCCCTCCTCCCTTCAGTTCCTGCCCGGACCCTCCCAACTGGCCCCTCCACAGCAGGCACAGAGCACGGCCCTTCCCGGGTCATCGCCACCCCTGCCCGGTCACCCCTGCATTATCCGTAGCCCAAAGGTCCCGTGTTGGGGGTTCACGCAGCGTCCAGCCTGCAGGTGCATCTCCTTTGGTTCACACTGTTACCACCACGGCGGGTTTTTAAAAGCTTGAACTCAGACTTAGGAACCAGAAGATTGCACATCAGTGACTGGATTCCCAGATTCAGAAAGTGGGAAACGCTGGCATTTCCGTTGCCCACCGGACATCTGGGTTGGCTGGCGCCGGCAGGGATTCCCCGTTCTATCCGGCTGTGCACTCAGCATGCAGCCCCACGTGTCAGGAAACCAAGCCCCCAAACAACCCACATGGCCTCTGCCGTACCATCATCTCAGCTGGGAGAAGGGCAGACTGGAGGACAGGCTGCCCTCTTCTCCCTGACCTCCCGCTGCTGGCCCCGTTGCCAGCTAGGAGCCCTCAAGGACAGAGAGGAGTCGACACTGCCATGCTGACCTCTGCCGTGAGTGGCGGGCCTGGTATGGACACCATTTGCCTGGCACACTCAGCCAGCAGTGCCGGGGGTAATATGAACAGCTCACCAGGGAGAGGCAGCTGCAGCCAGTAGCACGGACTGGCAGAGAAGCAGAGGGACAAAGAATAGACTCGGGAACAGGGAAGTCGGCAGAGGATGCCGGGGTCTGCCTGACCCTTTGCGGCGGCCGGATGAACAGCCAGAGAGAGCCGGTGCTCCGGGCGGAGGGAGCCGTACCCACAAGGGCCCAGAGGGAAGAGCTGACCAATGGGAAGAGCTGCCCCTGGGGCGCCACAGCACCGAGGGCAAGGTGAGAAGTGGCACTCTGGACAGTGGGTGTCCAGGGTGGTCACTGGGTGGTCGGCAGGGCCCGGGCAGGGCACACCTTGGGCTCACTCTCCTGGAGGGCAGCAGCCCAGAGGGACACGCTGCGTCTCGAGACGGACAGCAGGTGCCAGGACGGGCCCTGTGGCGCCATACGAGGGAACCAGAGAGCAGAACACAGATCAGGACTCAAGGGCACGTCTGACTCGGGGCTTCCAGGTCTGTGGCTGGCTGAGAAACAGCCCCCCAAATGATCCAGGTCCTCAGCCCTGCCCCATGCATGGCAGTCTGCATGGTTAAGAGGGACTTTGCAGATGCGGCCATGTCAAAGGTTCCAAAGCTACCTGTCCAAGATGATCGGGGTGGGCCCTAGATGCAATCACATGTCCACTCCCCTGCAACAGGAAGGCAGGACAGAGTTGATGTGACCAGGAGGAGGCAATGTTACCACAGAGACAGAGACTGGAATGATGCAGCCACAAGCCAAGGGACACGGGCAGCAACAAAAGCTGAGGAAGCTGGCAATGGCTTCTCCCCAGGAGCTCCCAAAGGAACCGGCCCTGAAAATGCCTTGATTTCAGGCAGACCGTGCTGATTTCAAACCATGAGAGAATAAATGTCTGTTCTCCTAAGCAATTTGTTACAACAGCCATAGGAAACAAATACAGTGCCCCAGGAGGGAACAAGGGGAGGGGGAGGCCATTCATTCTCTGGGAGACACAGGAAGAGCAGGAGGAAGACGCCCATGAGGACAGGCCGGTTGTGGCAGAGAGGAGGCTCAGAAGGGCAGCAGGAATAAGCAGAACAAGGTCACCGATGCTGTGAGAGGACAGCGGAGCCCTGGCGGGAGCTCTGCAGCCCCACTTCTGACTCATCCCCGGCCCCAGGGTGCAGCCAGTCCTGGTGCGGTCAGCAAATGCTCACAGCCTGAGTGCCAGGATGACCCCAGAACTCGGGGACACGTCCTCTGAGAGACACGTGGATGGGAAGGGCAAGGGGCGGTCCCCGTGCACTGCACATGGCGCGGATGGTTTCCGCAGCAGTGACGTCAGCACACTGTCACGGACTTTCCCTGTGTGGGTGACTTTAGGGGAGACTCATGTCTCCAACCCACGTTATTAATAGAACTCAGGGAAGTGTGGGAATTAACTCAGCGGCCAGACAAACAGTGATCGAGCCGTCCAGGAGCCCAGGGTGCCAGCGCTCCTTCTGGCTGGCTGGTGACCTCGAGCAATGCGCCCCCTTGGGCCGCAATCGTGTGCCTGGAAGTGGAGACAGGGGTCCCCCTGCCCCTTGCACGGTCACTGCAGCAGCACACACACCCTGGACACACTCGCAAACGGGGCATGCCTTGGTGCTTCTCAACCCTCCTCATGCCACTCAGCCTGCCGCTTTCCAAATGAGGAAGCCAAGGTGAGGGAGAGGGCTTGCCGCGGGTGTCTGGGATGGGCCCTGGGCCAGATCAGACCTACGGGGGACAAGTAGGGACACAGTCTGCCTCAGGGCAGCTCCTCTTCTAGAAGACCCCTGGTGCTGCAGGTCGGATGGCTCCAGTGACACACGCCCCAGGCCCTGGTGACCCTGGTGGGACCTAACGTGACCACAAAGCCATGCACAACCTGGTGAGGAGCAGCCTCCACGGCTGAGTGACTTCCTGCACACAGGAGGTCCAGCCCCCTTCTCCAGCTGGCCCCAGGGGATGTCACAGGCTGACAGAGGACACTGGGTCCATGTGATGCTGCCGTGATCGGGAATCAGGGAGAGCCAATGCTGCCTGGCAGGGGCTCTCGCAGGTGTCCACTTGAAGGGCTCCAAAGCCAACAGAGGTAGCTGTGAGGCCAGTAATTCAGGTTTTCACACGCCAGAGTCCTCCAAGTGGCAGTGTTCTCAGACAGAGATTTCTGACATATCCCTTGCAGAACTGCCCGTCCCCACTGAGCACTGGGAAATGCACTCATGTACGTCCTATTGGTGATCCGGGTGGCACATTCCCTAAGGCCACGGCCTGGCTACTGTGAGACTGGCGGATGACCACCCCGAAGGCCAACAGAGGACCACTACCAAGTCAAATGCCTGACCATCCCAGGACCAGTGGGTGAGCACCTCTGAGACCAACAGGTGATCACCATGACCAGGGAATGGCCGTCCCCCAGCTGCGGGTGACCAAACTGAAGCCATTCACTAGTCACCCCAAGACACCGCTAACCTCCCCCAAGGGCCACTGGCCTGAAGAATGCTGGGCGAAGGGCTCTCTGCAAAAATGGGGTTCACTAATAAGGTGCCTCGTTTTCAAACATTTTAGTATGCACTCCAAGAACAACCCTTGTACAGAACGGCAGCAGAAAACTGACAGGAAAACGGGGCACAAAATAGAAGCTGCGTTTTGCGGAGCTTTTCCCAGGACTCTGATTTTCCTGCTGCCGGTGGCAAGTGTATCTGTTTTTACATGTAATCTTTATTGATAAGAATCGGTTTCTGCTCTCAACTTGATAAATATTAAAGAAATTTCTCAAGCACCCTGATCTGAAGCGCGCTCAGTCGGGAGCCTGCTGGTGGCCCATCTGTCCCTCCTGATGTCTGTCCCGCCTGTGTCTCCCAGAGGGTGTGGGTCCCCCCATTCTGCAAGTCTGTGACTGCCAGGCCCACCGGTTCTCCCCTTGGGATGGACAGATGCTCCCTGGAGGGCTCTGTCCCAAACCTCAGGCGCCACCACAGGAGCCCAAAGCCGGCAGCCCCACAGCAGCCCTGAGGTCTCGGTGAACTGTGAATGCCTTCCCTACCGCTTCCTCCTATGCCCTGCTCTTTGCTGCTTGATTTATGGGGAAATAGTCTCTAGAAATGGAAACTAAAAGTTAAAAATTTATAAGAATCCAAGGGATGAACAGCCATACGCTGCTGCTTTGCATTTTAAAGCATTCAAAACACGGACATCTCACAGTTAGGACTTCACAGGAAACACAAGTCGGGGTCCTGCTCTTCCTCCCTGTCTGCGGCTCCCCTGGAGCTGGGCCTGTTGCTCAGCCTCGTTGTCCTGCAGCCTCTGGCACAAAGAATGACAGGCGTTTGTCAAGGTAATGGTGGGAAGGGGGCTGGGGATTTAGTTCAGCGGCACAGCGCCTGCCTGGCAAGCACAAGGTCATGAGTTCAGTTCCCAGTACCAGAAAAAAAACAAAACAAAAAAAAAAAAGGTAATGGTGGGAACAACCAAAGGTAGCAAAAGCCCGGCATGTGACACACATGCAGTCCCAGCTGC